GGAGTCGATTCGCATTGTCTTTGCTCCCCTTGGGATTGAGCTTCCCCGAGGGCAACACCTCTGGTGACGGTTGATGGCTTCTGGAACTTGATGGTGAAGTCATCTTCATCATCGTCGTTGTCGTCACCATCTAGATCATCTCCGGTGTCTGGAATGACAGGTTCATCATCGTCTTCATCATCGTCTTCATCATCATCTTTTTCATCCTCATCAACATCATCATCATCACCAGCAGCAGTGACGATATGGACATCATCCCTAGGGATGGCTTCTACAACCTCAGCTTGAGCAGCTTCGGTGGTAGGGATTACATGAGCAACAACTGCTTCAGCTTCAACAGCCTCAGCTTCTACTACAACTGAAGCTGATACTGGACCAATAGCCTGAGAAGCTGTAGGAGCAGCATCTGATGATCCACCAGCGTTGGACCTCATCTCCCCCTCTCTGGCTAAGACTTGAGAGAATTGGCCAGAGAGTTCGTCCAAGCGCTGTTGCTGGAGAACCATAGAATCCTCCAGCCTTTGCAAAGCATTGACTAGAGTTGTCGTTGCCTCACGCATCTCATGGAGCTGGGAGCAATCATCGGCAAAGAATAAAGGTGCACTCACTGGAGCTGGTTGACGGACAGCATCCAGGATTTGCTGAAGAAGTCCAAGTTGCTGATCAGCAATCGCCTGCGCATCGTCAGCCCTGCTGTGAAGAATAACAATGGCATCGTTGTTGGCGTGAACAGCTTCTTGGAGAGTCTGGAGCTGACTCTGAACTTCTTGAATGTCCGCCTGGAGGGCTAGGAAGTTCGCATCAAGATCGCCTTGGCGGGGCATCTCTTGGTGAACTTCGTTGACCTTGGAGAGGACGGTATCAACGGCTGGAAGAAGAAGTTTGATGTCTGATGCCATATCATAGTCATCATCGACATCCTCATCTCCTCCATCATCTTTCTCTCTTTCTCCCTCTTCCACCTCTTGAGCATCAGGCTGATGCATCAAAAAAGGACCTGCAAAGGAAGAAGTATGAGCTAAAGGCTCAAGGTTAGAAGAAATGAAAGGGTAGGAAGATGGAATACCTGAGGGGCCTTCAGTGACATCAAAAKGAGTGTCACTGGTGGGAGCAAAGATGTCCTCGAGAGGATGGACAACCGTATGCTGAGAAGCATCGAGAGGAGCAGCCTCAGGTC